ATAGATAGCTCAATGCAAGGTTGGCACAAATTTGAAGAAAAAAACCCCCACAATATCTGCAAGGTGCAATAAAATGAAGTGTGCTTGTATGCGTTTTGAAAAAATGCCAAAGTACACAAAAGTTGAAGCAACACTGTAATAAATATATCACAGAATTCCACTTCTGGGAAAACAGAATAATAAGGATAAGATTGACTTTTCTTCCTGAAACAACTAAAAAAAACTGTACAAATGTATAAAGTAATGATTCTCAAGACATTGGACTATGGAAAATGAAGAAATACAATTCCTTAGAGATAGAAAAAAAATCAGGTGACTCTATAATCCCCCAAGGAGCCCTGATGGTGCAGTAATTAAGCACTCAGCTGCTGTCCGAATGGTTGGCGGTTGGAACCATCAACTACTCTGTGGGAGAAAGATGTGCCAGTCTACTTCTATAAAGATTATAGTCTTGGAAATCCTATTGGGAAGTTCTATTCTGTCCTGTAGGGTCACCATGAGTCAGAATCAACCCAATGACAATGTGTTTCTGATGACCCCAGCTTATCACTTTTAGTTTCTAGGTTGCAGCATAGGGAGGGGAAAACTAGGCAGATTCTAGTGGTCTCCTTGAGTTGAGGAGGCAAATCTGGGAATTTTAGGAGGTCAAAGCAGCTCCAGTTCACAGGGTAGAGTGTCAGAGAGAAGAGAGCTGCATAGAGATAGATCACAGGTTGGCAGAGGATCTCGCTTGAGTATTCAACTGAGTGTTGATCAGTACATGTGTTCAGCAAAACTATCTGAGGTCAGAGAAGGAAAGGAACCATCTGAAAAGATAGATGGAATACCCTCATAACTCACGTAGAACTGGTAATAATACCTGTTCTCACCAGTCACACTGGAAAGCATGACAATGCATGGAGCATTGGTAGAATACTCAAAAGAGTTTTGCCTTGATATTTTGGGAAAAATAACTATAAAATAAGTACTGCTCTGGTTCCAGCTAATAAAACTTAAGAACCAGACCTAAAAGGATAAAAGTATTTCCAAGTAACTTAATCATGTCCTAGAACAAAGATCAAGAATATTTATAAGAATACAAGAATAAGGCGCTCTGGTGGTGTAGTGCCTAAGGCATATGACTGCTAACCAGAAGGTTAGCAGTTAGTGGTTCAAGCCTACCAGCTGCTCCATGGAAAGAAGATGAGGCAATCTACTTCTGTAAGGATCTACCACCTTGAAAACCCAATGGGGGTCACTATGAGTCAGAATCGACTCTATGGCAGTGGGTTTGCTTTGGCTTTAAGGTAAAATTCACAGTGCCTGGCATCCAATTTAATAATAATAATAATAATAATACATATGCAAAGTAGCAGGAAGATTCATTATTTGGAGAAAAATTAATCAACTGAAAGTAACCCAAAGATGACATGTAAGATAGAATTACTAGGTAAGTACATTAAAGCAATTATCATAATTGTATTCCACATGTTCAAGAGCTAAAGGAAAGATTAAACATGTCACACAGAAATATACGGGGAAAGACTGAAATAAAAATGAACAGAGCACCAGTGAGCTGTGGGCCAACTTTAAGACCCAAGATATACATGCAATTGGTGTCCCAAAATGGGAGGAGAAATACAATGGACAGAAAAAATATATATATTTGAAAAAATAATGATCAAAATTTCCCCAAATGTTATGAAAACTATAAATCCAAAGATCCAAGAAAAACAATGAACCCCCAAGGAAAAGAGAGATGATGGAAGAAACATCAGACATATTATAATCCAATTGCTTAAAGCCAATTGTTTTTGGTCCTCTGGTGTCTCTCTAAGGAGCTCTGGTGGCATAGTGTCTAAGGCACTTGATTGCTAACCAGAAGGGTGGTGGTTCAAACACACCAGCCACTGCTCAGAAGGTAGGTTGGACAATCTACTTCCATAGTGATACCGCCTCGGAAATCCAAGTAAGGGTCACTGTGGGTTGGATCCAACTCGACAGCAGTGAGTTTAGTTTTGGTTTGGTTAGTTTCTCTACCAGAAGTACCAAAAATGGGTGGTTTTAACAAACAGAGATTTATTCTTTTATAGTTTAGGAGGCTAGAAGTCTGAGTTCAAAGTGCCAGCTCTAGGGACTGGGTAAAGGTCCTTCGACCTTGGGCTTCAGCTCTGCCTCTTGCTCCTGGCCCACTGGAGCTGGAGGCATCTCTTCACTCAGCAGCTACTGGCTACTGAGGCTGACAAACCCAAGGTCGACAAATAAAATGGTGCAATCCCAAGATTACCAAACAACATGGCAGGCCACTAGTTCAAATCCAGAGACAGTCCCGTGATCGGCAGACAACATGGCAGGCCACTCACTGATGACTCAGCCAAATGCAGAATCCAAGCATGCTAAAAAGCTGCAGAGACTGTTCTCAAGGCTTCTTCTTATATACAGGGAGCAGACCACATCCCTAAGGCAGCTACTCAGCTGCTCCGGTAGATTCCACCAGGGAACTGATTACCAGTCTCATCATGGGGAATCACTACATCAGTTGCCCAGCCATTCAAAACCAGGCCCAGCCAAGTTGATACACAACTTGGAAAAAAAAAAAAAAAATTAACCACAGACAAGAGGCACATCATATGCAGAGGAACAAAGAAAAGACGACAGCTGATTTATTATGAGAAACCATCCAAGCTATAAGACAGTGGAATAGCATCTTTAAAGTAATAAAATAAAATAACATAAAATTCTTTACCTAGCAAAAATCTTTTTCATAATGAAGGTAAAATACACACTTTTCCAGACATATAAAAGCTAAAAACATTCAACCCAGGAGATGTGCACCACAATAAATGTTAAACGAAGTCTTTTAGAAAATGTTACCAGATGGAAATCTGGATATACACAAAGAAATGAAAAGTACTAGAAATGGTAACTGGGTGGGTGAAAAGAATAATAATCATGTTTTATTATTGTTTAAGTCTTTTTACGAATAATCAGCTGCTTAAAGCAAAAATAATCTCAGTGTATTGGGGGTTTATGACTTTGTGGAAATCAACTCCATAGCACATACACTGTGAGGAGAGAAATGGAAATATACCATTGTTGTTGTTGTTGTTGTTATGTGCCATCGAGTCAGCCCTGACTCATAGCGACCCCTTCTTGGGTTTCCAAGGCAGTATCACTACGGAAGTAGGATTGCCCAACCTTCCATTGTAGAGTTCTTAATTCTATATGTGAAGTAGTGTATTATCACTTGAAGGTAGACTACTGTAAGTTGAAAATGCAAACTGTGAACCCTAAAGCAACTACTGAAATAACACAACAAAGAGTAATAGCCATTTAAACCAAAAAATAAACTTAAAAAACAATACCATAAAACATACTCATTTAATTCAAAAGAGGAAACAAGGAGCAAAGAATACATGGGACAAAGAGAAAACAGATAATAAAAAGGTGGATTTCCAATCAACCATATCAATAACCACATGAAATATAAATGGTCTGTTGTTGTTATGTTTCGTTGAGTCATCTCTGACTCATAGAGACCCCTCCTTGGGTTTCTGAGGCAGTATCAGTACGGAAATAGATCGCCCACTTTTCTTTCTGAGGAGTGGCTGGTGGGATTGAACCACCAACCTTCTGGTTAACAGTCAAGTGCCTTAGGCACTATGCCACCAGAGCTCCCATAAACGGTCTAGACACAACAATTAAAAGGCAGAGATTGTCATGTCACATTAGATAAATATGCAAGATTCTTTAAGAAATCTAGTTTCAGTGTAAAGATACAAAAAAGTTAAAGAACTAACATGCTAATAATAGCCAAAAGAAAAATGGAGTAGCTGTATTTATAATGAGCAAGTAGATTTCAGGACACAGAATATTATCAGGGAGAGTGAGTCATTTCATAATGATAAAGATGTCAGTTCATCAAGAGGACAGCAAAATCATCACACTGAGTGACAGAAATCAGACACGGATGAGCTTGATGCAATGTCCCATAGACTGAGGGAAACATAGGGCAGTGGGGGACCAGTTCCCCAAGCCAGTGTCCATTCCCACAGCCTCATACCCCTCTTTTTAAACCTTGGGGACAAAGAGCGCCTCCTGGGCAGAGCTAGGGGGGCAGTTCTCCTGACACTGGAACCAGAGGTCTGGACCACTTAGGTTCTCTCTCTGGGCTCACCCTCCACTTGAATGGAGTAAGGGCGGCCTAAGGACCCACAGTGAACAGGACCCTGAGCTGCCCCTGCAGCCTGGAAGTCAGAGCCCATCTCAGTCCAAGGTCAGGGCCTTGGAGCCTGATTTGCATTCCTGATGGAGCACCCAACATCAGTCACAGGTCTTCACTTGTCTTCCAAGGGACACCATCAGGGCACACAAGTAACAAAGGAAATTAGTCCCTTGAGATATGAGCTTAGCTCTGTGCTGAGATGGTGGGGATGGACCTTGACTTCAATCCTTTGCTCTAACAGGCACTTCTGGATCCCTTCTACTTATCTGTTCTGTCTCACCTGCTCCTTCCTCCTTCCTGGGGTTCCTGTCACTGTTTTGCCAGAAGTCCCCAGTCAGCTCCCCACTCCCTGCATCTCACATCCTCTTTAGCTCACAGAAGACTGACCCTGATCTCTAACTTGTGAGTGACTTCGTATCCCCCAGGAGGCCCTGGGTCGGGAGCCTGTGTCCTTCCTCTTCTTCCAGACAGAGCTGACCTGGTACCAGGCTCCAGGCTAATCAGGGGAATGAGAGCAAGGCTGAAAGGCAGAGAGAGGCCCCTGCGCAGAAAAGCAAAATACAGACAAGAAGGAAAAGGAAAGAATATGGCAAGAAGGGGCGGGACTGAAAGGAGAGAGGAAGAAGAGACCCCGCCCCCGGCACACTTGACTGGACAAAGCTCCTGCCCTAGGACGCGCAGAGCAGAGGGAGGTAGGGCTGCAGAGTAGACGCATCCGGGGCTGGAGCATCAACCAGCATCTCTGGAGCCGGAATTCTTTCCCACAGAGGGAGGCACAGAGCAGGCGGCAGACACCATGAAGCTGCCTTTAGCCTCTCCCCACAGAAGGGGCGTACCCTGGCAGGGCGTCCTAGTCACAGGTAAGAGGGATGACTCCCTGAGAATGGCCAGGAGGATGGGGGAGCAGAGACTGGCTGGGGTCTCCTGGGGAAGACAAGGGAATGAGACGGGACTGAGAGCTTCCTTTGGAACCTGAGTGGGGAGGACCTTGAAGAGAGGGGAGGACTCACCTGCAGGAAAACTCACTGGATTGGAATTGATAACGGGAAGGAAAAACAGAATTGCTATATATTTCCAAATTAATCATCACTAAACAATAGCCCTGGTGGCACAGTGCCTAAGGCATTTGAGTGTTAACCAGAAGGCTGCCGGTTCAAACCCACCAGCCACTCCTTGGAAGGCAGGTTAGGCAATCTACTTCCATAGAGATACTGCCTCCGAAACCCAAGGAGGGATCACTCGGAATTGGGACTGAGTCAATGGCAGTGAGTTTTGGTTTTGATTTAACAATAGGAGCTCTGGTGGTGCATTTGACTGCTAAGAGGTCAGTGGTTTGAACCCGCTAGCTACTTCATGGAAGAAAGATGAGATAGTCTACTTCCACAAAAGATTTACTTGGACCCAATGGCAGTCACTATGAGTCAGAATTGACTCGATGGCAATGAATTTGGTTTTTCTTTTAAACAATAAATTTTGAAAACAGTAATAATTTATGTCAGAGTAATACTCCAGGATAAAGCTTAACCAGAGGCTCTAAACCTGACCTTTACGCACCAAATTCAGAAACAGGCAAATACACATCTGGACCTGGAGAGGGCCTAGAAACCTTCCCTGATTCATGCCCCAGGTATCTGCAGGCCTGTCTAGTCACTGTGGGTACATCACAGAACAAGACAAGGCCCTGCCCTGACAGAGCTCACATCTAGGGGAGAGGGGGACAGATAAGCAAATGGATCTGGATGTGACGTCAGGTGTTGATAAGGACACAGAATAGGGAAAGGTGGGAAAGCGAAGACAGAGGGTCTGTGATGAGGTGTCAGGAAAGGCAGCTCCCAAGGCTGCTGCTGAGTGTGAGCGGCGCCTGAGGGCGGTGAGCCAGCCGGGCAGACACCTGGGGGAGAGTATTTGAAAAGAGGAAATGACAGGTTCAAAGGCACTGAAGTGCTGCTGACCTTGGGAAGCACACACACCCCATGCCCAAGGGCTGAGAGAGACCTGCTCAGATCAGACTCAAGGGCCCCAACTTCCCTCCCAATACAGTCATCAGCAAGCTGATTGACTTCTCTCTCTTCCCTCCTAGTCTCACTTTTACTCTCCTGGAGTCCGCCCATCTCAGCCCAAGCCGCTATTGAGTCAGTGCCCCTCAACGTGGCTGAAGGGAGCAATGTTCTTCTACTTGTCCACAATGTGCCACCGGATTGTATTGGTTACAATTGGTACAAAGGGGGTGATGCTAAAAATCCCAGCCTTCGTATTTTAACATATAGCATACAAGGGCAAACAACCAGCACAGGCCCTGCCTACAGCGGCCGAGAGACTGTCTACAACAACGGATCCTTGGTGATTCAGAAGGTCACCCAAAATGACATGGGAATCTACACCCTACAAATAATAAAGCAAGGTTTTCAGGTTGAAACAACAACTGGACAGTTCCACGTATACCGTGAGTATTCCTCTCTGACATCTCAGTGTGGGGTGGGGTTCATTCTACTTTCAAGATAAAGGTTAACATGACGGGACCCTTTGCTGTGTCTACACCACCCCTTCTCTGCACTCCATTCTTGGGCTTTGAGCATTTCGATCAGAATTCCGTCCCGAATCCACACGTTCACTGCGGAGAGGAGAGTCTGATGGAGAATACTCAGCAGGGGGAGCTCACTCAGTCCACCCCCCTGGGCCCCTCTGAATGAACACGCCCTAGAGGATTCAGTCAGGCTGTGGCCTGAGGGGCTGCTGGGGTTCTCACAGAGAAGCTCAGCCCCAGGAAATCCCTTCCTCAGACCGTGTCCCAGGGTTCCTGACTCCAGGTCCCCCTGAGGAGCCTGTAAGTGGGCATTAGATCTTGCCTCCTGGGCAGAGCTAACTGGGAGCAACAATTTACTGGCTGCCCAAGTCTCAGAGCTCCTGGAGCAGGTCACCAGCCAAGGCTCAGCATCAAGAGCTATTCTGGGTAATGACCAAGTTGAGTTTGGACAGGTGTCCCCAGGCTGTTAACCAACTATCTTGGGGAATTTAGAAGACCCCATAGGAAGATCAAGGAGTTCTGGTGGTGTAGTGGTTAAGGCATTTGCTTGCTAACCAGAAAAGGTCAGTGGTTCAAACCCACCAGCCACTCCATGGAAGAAAGATGAGGCAGTCTGCTTCCATAAAGATCTACAGCCTTGGAAACCTACTGGGGGTTGCTACGAGTCAGAATCAACTTGATGGCAGTCAGTTTGAGTTTATAGGAAGACCAGCATCCCCAGGAGGAAGAAATACCACAGAAGATGCTCTTGGCAACTCCTTGTTTACTTGTGATCAGGCCCAGGGAGCGTCACTTGAAGCCAAATAACAATAAAACAAACAAAAAGCAAACATCGTTGAGTTGATTCTGACTCATAGCAATCCTATGGACAGAGTAGAACTGCCCCATAGGATTCCAGAGCTGTAATATTTATGGAAACAGACTGCCACATCTTTCTCCTGCAGAGTGGCTGGTGGGTTCAAACCTCTGATCTTTTGGTTCAGAGCCCAGCACTTAACCACTGCACCACTAGGGATCCTCCAAATAATAATATGACCGTCAAGTCAGATCCAACTCACAGCCAGTCCTCCTTGGGTTACGGAGGTGATATCACTACAGAAGTAGATCACCCAATCTTCCTTCCGAGGAGTAGCTGGTGGGTTTGAACTGCCAGCCTTCTGGTTAGCAGTCAAAGGCCTTAGGCGTTAGGCAACTCCTCTATACCCGGCTTTGTATCAGGTAATTGTGAATATTTAAGGTTAATTCACAACCTGAGAAACCATATACCATTTAATCCCATTTTACTGAAGAGAAACTGAGGTATGGAGCAATATAGTCACAACTATAGGGTAACACAGACCATGACTGGCACATCAGAGTCACACTGAGATCTATCTGCAGCTATAGCCCTTACCTTTCCTCCACTCCACATGACCTTTTAAGGTGTTTGTGGACCCCTGGAGCAGCCATGCTTCTAATCACTTCTTCTTAATACTTCTCCACCTCAAAGGGAGAGATTTTGATCTGGGGCTTGAGAGCAAATGAAAAATAATCCATTTTTAAACTAGAAGTAAATTACCTATGTCAACAATCAGAGTCACTGCCGGGCATTTCCAGTACTCCAGCCCCAGGCAGCCAGTCAAAACACTCCTGCAGTGGACGAGAAATCTTTCGTATTTGATTACTGATGTCCAGGTGTTTCTCCCACTGGAGCATAAAGGAAAGGATTGTGCTTTCTCACTCCCCACTGCACACCCTGCAACTAGTACAGACCCAACATGTAAAAACTCTCAATTACTCTTTGATGGAGGAATGAAGGATGGAATGGTGAGTGAAAAAATGAATGACCCACAGTCTCTCCAGAGGCTGGATCCTGGATCCAGATTCCTAGGACGTTCTGCCACATAGCCTCCCTCTTCATCTAGGTGACTGAGACTCGTCCTCTGCCTCTGACCTCCTGCTCCTAAGCTGAGCCCGGACATGGATGTCATGATGATCTCATGCTGCTCAGTCAGGGGAGAGTTTGCACTTGCCCTGCTTCTGGGTCATGTGGGGACTCCTGGGCCTTCAGGTCTCTTGAGTCACTTGTAACCCCTACTGCTCACTGCCATGAGTAGTTCTGGCTTTTTATGCTCCTTCCATGCTCCTCAACTTTTCTCCTTCTTCAGTCCAACTGGGACTACCCTGCTCTTCAGTTTCCTCCTCCCTGTAAGCCTTCCCCAGATAAGGGCGCTAATGCTGACTGTCCTGTTCTCTTCCCCCCAACACCATGGACAGGCCCACCCATCCCGGCCAATAGTAAAGGGCAAAGTAATCAGTCTAAGCAGCAGCCCCTTCAAGGGCTCCACCACTGACCAATGTCCCCAAGTTCCCAGGGAAACAAGCTTCACATGTGCTCCCCATATCCAGGATCTTTCCCCTTAGTGATGCCAACTTGCGGGATGGCCAATTCAGGATGGACATGAACCTCCTTGATTCACTAATGCACTGATCCAACTAGGGAAGCAGAGGCAGAGGGAATAGGTCTGCAGTCCCCAAAGCATAAAGGCACATTTTACCAATTTTACTTGGGATTCATGTCCTTGTCCTTGGTGTGAGGCTCACAGTCCCCTACAGTGGTTCGGAGACCTTTCCCCATGGAGCAGCTGCCAGACCACGTGCTGTTGATTATTTATACTTCCTATTCCACAAGATGTGTGTTCCTCATTATGAACCACAGTCATGAGGTAGGGTACTCTCAGTTGGGAGACGCGTGAACCAACGTTGTTTCAGTTATGACCACCAATGTGGCTGACCACCAGGCTTGTTCCTGGTCTCCCCAAGTGTTATTTCTGCTCATTATACCCACTCCTCCAGCCAGGTTGACAAGTCTTCTCAGAGTTTAGGGACAATGAGAAGTCTTACCATTATCCACATCTAGAATATCTTTGAAAATTTGGTCTCAGAAAAAACACAGCTGGCCCAAGCAAGGTAGAATTGGGCCCTTGTAAGAAATCTCAGCAAGCCCACATTGCAGATGAGGTGAGTGAGGCTCAGGCAGGCAGTCTGCTGGTCTGGGAAGAGGCCAGGAATCATCAGGAGGCTTATGTATTACCTCCAGTTCTATGTCTTCCATCACCAAAATTCTGCAACTTATTTAACACTTAAAGGACATTTAATTAACAGGTTGCAATCATGCTATTTCTGTCTAGTTTTCAGAAAAGATCTTGATAAAAGTTATTTTCCAGACAATTATCTCCTGGGTACATGCAGATCTCAAACTCTGAGCCCTCCCACACATCTGGGCCAATTGTTACTCCTTTTGCTCTTCTTAAATAAGGGCAGACCTTGGGTCCAGTGGGAATATGAGAAGGGAGTTCCCCCAGCCCCAGAAAGCCCTGTGGAGTGGAAGGGGACTTCAGATGGGAAGGGAAGAAGTGTCTTGGGTCAACTTGCTTCTCTCTGTCACTAGCATATACCTTTCTATATGTCTTTGTTTTCTTTCACTGACTCCATGTGCTATGAGGACCATGGAAACAAGCTCATATCTTTTCCTCAAATGAGAGGAGGAAACCTCCAGTTGGGTGATGGGCAGAATGGGGCTCTGCCTCCCTGCTTTGTCCCCTTCCCACCTACCCCTCCCAAACCCTTAAAGCACCAATCCTATTCTGACACCAGCTGTGTCTGGACTGGGGAGTGTGGAGCAGGTGTATGTTAGCCATGTCCTCATCTTGCTAAAAAGTGTAGCCACAGTTCAGGCTATAAGGAAATGGGAAAAGTTCCAGCTATGGGGCACAGAGGGCAGAGGCAACTGAACCCGTCCTGGCTCATAAGTCACAGCTTTCTATACTGTGTGACACTGGTACAGAAGACTCACAAAGGTGAGCAATAAGCCATAAATCACACTTGGAAAAACAGGTACATTCACCATGAAGTTCCTTCAGGTGCAGGAACAGCAGGGCCCAAAGTAAATATTTTATAGCGAGGGCTAAGAGTACCAGGCTTTTGTTAAAATTATAACCACTTCTCTTTAGAGGTTTCCTTCATCTGATAATTAATACTTAAACCAGAAACTAGAAGTCATTTTCAGATTGAGAAATCCTTTAAATCGGAAACTTTCCAGTTCCTAAGTAATGAAGACTGGGTGGGGTCATCCTCAATTCCCTGTAAAATATTTATCAAAATCAAAACATTTTCCCTTCCCCCATATTCAGCTGTCCTAACCCAGAGATGAACCCATCCAGCAGCCTGCCCTTCCCACATACATGGAAGTAACTACTAGAGAAGGGGGTCTGATCTATTAAAGTCATAGGAAGCCCCAGGAAAGGATCATACAAACACCTGTCAAAGAAAAATTCTACCTGATGATGAGTTTGTTGGGCATGTGGGCTGAGAAGTGGTCCTGATGCTGATACACCAGAGTCCCAGGTTCCAGTTAGGGAGGATGCACCTATTTCCTAGTGTAGAGAGGGCCACCCTATCCTTATAGATCAGCACTTGGGCAAACACATATCCTCTGCAGAGGGTCAGGATCACCTTGTCCGTCACTTTTCAGAACTCATTGTAGGGGCTGTAAACTGGCTGAGATCTCATAGGAAGAAGATGGCTACAGCTCCAGGCCTCTCTCACAATCACCTTTTCTGCTTCTCCATAGGATTCTTGACAAAGCCCTCCATCCAAGCCAGCAACACCACCGTCACAGAACACAAGGGTCCTGTGGTCCTGGCCTGCCTCACCAACCACACTACAGTGTCCATTCAGTGGATCTTCAATGGGCAGAGTCTGCAGCTCGTGGAGAGGACAACACTGTCCCAAGACAACAGATCCCTCACCATAGACCCCGTCAAGAGGGAGGATGCTGGGGAGTATCAGTGTGAGGTCTCTGACCAGGTCACTTCCACCAAAAGTGACCCCCTCATGCTGACTGTGAAGTATGTTGAATCCCTATGGGTTTTTAAACTCAACCTCTCAATGTTCTTACCTGTAAAATGGTGGGTTTGATGCACTTGTTTTATGAAGTTGTAATTAGTCAAGGAACTGAAGGTGAAAAATCTTTAGAACAGAAAGGTTGTATCCAATCAATAAATGCTCAATAAAATGTTAACACTGTTGTTGTTGCTGGCTCAAAGTCACATTCACCTCCTACATAGCACCACTATCAGTCTCAGCTCCACCCTCTCCACAGTGGAAGTGACACAGCTCCCTCCCAGGTATAAAAATGCACTGCTGTCAAGTTGGATTCAACTCATAGTGACCCCTCTTTGAGTTTCCAAGGTGGTATCACTACGGAAGTAGATTACCCAATCTTCCTTCTGAGGAGTGGCTGGTGGGTTTGAACCATCAGCCTTCTGGTTAGCAGTCAAATGCCTTGGGCACTACGCTACCAGAGTTCCTGCCTCCCAGGTATAGGCAGTGCCCATATGTGGTGATGGGGGCTCTGAATACCCCCAGCACATGATCAGTTCTTGAGAACCACAACTCCATCATCCCACCTGCGAGAGGTGGGGTAAGGTGTCTGGACTTGCAACCAGTAGAGGGAATAGATGGGCACACACTCATGCAATGACAATGCAAAGAGAAAAAAAAAAAATGAGCTTTTCACAGCACAATCCATCAATGTCTAGATCAGGTCTGAAATCATGTAGATGATATGTAGATGTGAGTCTATGAATCACAGCTGATTTGCCCAGTGCTTTCCCTCTCCCCTCTGCCAGGTCTCAGTGTCCCTCACTCAAACCCTGGGGAGGGGCAGTAGAGGACTCTGGCAAGACTGAGTGCCCCCCATCTCAGTGCACCAGGGTGTCTGCAGTGGAGCACATGGGGGCATGAACAACATGGGCAAGGTCCTTGGGGCAATTAGGAACACAACTGCTCTCAGGGATGGGGGGGGCGGCTGGCAAATGCTGAAGAGGGTCCTATCCTTGACCAGAGACTCAACAAGAAAACTACTGGAATGAACAGAAGGATTCAGCTAAGTAGCAAGCTACAAGATAAACATACAAAAATCAGGTGGATTCCTCTATACTAACAAAGAGACCTCTGAAAAGGAAATCAGGAAAGGCATACCATTTATAATAGCCACCCAAAAGATGAAGTACTTAGAAATAAATCTAATAAGAGATACAAAGAAAACTACAAAACACTACTACAAGAAACCAAGAGAGACCTGCATAAATGGGAGAATATACCATGCTCATGAATAGGAAGACTTAAATCATGAAAATGTCAATGCTACCCAAAGTGGTGTACAGATGTAACACAACCCCAATTCAGATTATATTATTATCCTGTAAAGAGGTGAAAAAAACTAATCACCTAATTTACATGGAAAGGAAACAGACTGATATAAGCAAAGCACTACCAAAGAAGAACAAAGTAGGAGGCTTCACACTCCCTGATCTCAAAAGCTGCTGCACAGATACATGGTGATCCAAACAGCCTGGCAGGAGGGAGAAGGGAATAGGCAAGTCCGCTGTGATTCATGGACTCAGGAAACATCTACATGATTCCAGACCTGATCCAGACATTGATGGATTACACTGTGGAAAGTGCACTATTCTCTTTGTATTATCATTGCATGGTAGAATGACAGACACACAGACCAATGGAACAGAATTGGGTACCCAGAAGTAAATCCATCCTCCTATGGACAGCTGGTCTTTGACAAAGAGCCAAAACCCATTATATACAGAAGAGATAGTTTCTCTAATAAATGGTGCTAGCAAAATTGCATATCCATTTGCAGAAAAATGAGACAGGACCTATATCTCTCACCATATATAAAAACTAACCAAGATGGATCAAAGATCTAAATGTAAAACCTAAAACTATAAAGATCATCAAAGAAAAAATAAGGGCAAACTTAGGGACCTAATACATGGCATAAATACACCATCAAACACAACTAAAAATGCACAAACAGAAGAAGACTAACTAGATGACTTGTTGTTGTTGTTGTTATGTGCCATTGAGTCGAACCCGACTCATAGCAACCCCTCCTTGGGTTTCCGAGGCAGTATCACTACGGAAGTAGATTGCCCCATCTTCCTTCCAAGGAGTGGCTGGTGGGTTTGAACTGCCAGTCTTCTGGTTAGCAGTCAAGTGCCTTAGCCACTATGCTACCAGAGCTCCCAACTAGATGACTGGGACCTCCTAAAAAATTAAATGTTATGTGCATCAAAAGACTTCACTAGAAAAGTGAAATAGAAACTTCAGATTGAAAAAAAAAAAAATGGCAACAACATATTGAACAAGGGATTAATCTCCAAAATTTATAAAAAATTTCAACACCTCAACAACAAAAAAGCAAACAATTCCATTTAAAAATGGGCAGAGGACAAGAAAAGACACTTCAACAAAGAATTCAGGTGGCCAACAAACACATGAAGAAATGTTCTCAATCATTAGCCATTAGAGAGATGCAAATCAAAACAACAATGAGATACCATCTCATCCCAGCATTAATAGCAAAGTATGAAAAAAAAATGCTGGTGAGGGTTTGGGGAGACTGAAACCTTCAAACACTGCTGATAGGACTATAAAATGGAACAACCACTGTGGAAAATGGTATGGTGCTTCCTTTAAAAATTGGAAATAGAAATACCATGTGCGGTAGTTAAGGTTATGGGTCACCTTGGCTGGGCCTGGTTTTGAGTGGCTGATAAGCTGGTTGTAGTTATTCCGCATGATGAGATTGGCAATCAACTCCATGGTGGGATCTGCCATGAGCAACTGAGTAGCTGCTTTAGGGACGTGGTCTGCTTCCAGCATATAAGGAGAGGCTTTGGGCTTGGTCTGCAGCATTTTGGCACTCTTGGACTCTGCATGTAGCAAAGTCTTCAGTCAACGGGCTGCCATGTTTCCTGCTGATCTTGGGATTGTCTCTGGACTTGAACTAGTGGCCTGCCATGTTGTGTGCTAATATTGGGACTGTGCAATTTTGTTTGTTGACCTTGGGCTTGTTAAGACTCAGCAGACAGTAGCTGCCTGAGTGAAGAGAGGCCTCCAGCTCCAGTGGGCTGGGAGCAAGAGGCAGTGTTGAAGCCCAAGGTTGAAAGACTTTCACCCAGCCCCTAAAGCTTGGCACTTTGAACTCAAACTTCTAGCCTCCAAAATTGTAAGAGAATAAACTTCTGTTTGTTAAAGCCATCCACTTGTGGTATTTTCCTGTTAGAGCAGCATTTGAAGTAACCAAAACACCATGTAACTCAGCATTTTTACTACTGGGAATATATGCACATTCATATTCATCACAGCATTAGTCACAAGAGCAAGAAGATGGAAACAAGCTAAATGCCCATCAATGGATGAATGGATAAACAAACTATAGTACATGCACACAGTGTAATACTATTAAGTATTAAATAATATCAATGAATCTGTGAAACACTTTGTAACTTGGAAGAACCTAGAGGACATTATGCTGAGTAAAATTAGTCAATCACAGAAATACAAACACTGTATGAGACCACTACTGTAAAAAGTCAAGAGAAGTTGACATAGAGGGAAAAAAAAAATTCTTTGAAGGTTACCGGGGTGGAAGTGGAAGGGCGTGTAATTTACTAACTAGAAGGTAAACATGTACTAACTTGGGTGAAAGGAAAAGCAATATATGATAAGGGAGAGGTCAGCACTAAAGATCAAGGCAAAGGAAGATGGGGGGAGGGTGAGGACCACAAGAGTTAAAGACAACAAAAGTAAATACTATTACATACACAATCCTGCAACAATAGTAATAATCTATGAGTGAATATCATGATTGGTAAAGTGGAGGGTCAGCGAAAAAGGGGAAGGCCCTCAAAGAGGTGGGTTGACATGGTGGCTACAATGTGCTCAGGTACAGCAAGTAGTATGAGGCTGGCACAGGACCAGGCAGTGTTTTCTTCTGTTGTATGTAAGGTCACTATGAGTCAGAGATGACTTGATGGCACCTACCAACAACATATAAGGAGCAAAGTTATGAAAACTTGTTATTGTTGTTGTTGTTGTTATGTGCCGTCAAGTCGGCCCCGACTCATAGCGACCCCTCCTTGGGTTTCCGAGGCAGTATCACTACGGAAGTAGGATTGCCCAACCTTCCTTCCGAGGAG